ATTTTCAACATCTTTGTCTTCTGCCAAGTCTTCAACGAGTTTAACTCGCGTAAGGTGAATGGCGAGCACAACGTCTTCTCGAATGTATTCACCAACTACATCTTTTTGGGAATCATTCTTGGTACAGTAGTGGTTCAATTTGTTATTGTACAATTCTTAGGCATTCTCTTTGGCGGTGTTGAATTTAACCCATCAGAAGACACTTATGGCTTGTCATGGCAAGGTTGGTTGTTCTCCCTTCTCCTTTCCTTCTTGACACTTCTCGTTGGGCAAATTTCATTTTTCATCCCAGTCCCCAAGGAAGTCCCAAAGAAGTTCAAAGGAGAGCCGTCACTCCTTGAGAAGATTTTGTGTTGCAAATTCTGTTGTAAGTCAAAGGAATCTGGTCAAGAGGAAGACTCTGAGAGTTCCGATTCTTCGATTTCCGAAGGTCCAACAGAGCACAAGAAACTGCTTGCTGTCGAAAAAGAAGAGAAGTAATCGCTCTATTTCTTTAGTTATTATTTTAATAAATTATTCTATTCACTTATAATATTTTACACCACCAATTTATATTATTATTATAATATATATAATAATAATATTATTATTATATTTTTACTATTATCTTATTATAATAAATATATTATTATATTATAATAATAATAATATAATAAAATGGTTTAATATAATTATTATACTAATAACTATATTAAACCATTTTCGACAAAAACATTGAAAACACTGCTTTGAAAAAAGACATTTAATATATTATAATAGAGCTATTAAAAACAACTATATGATGAACCAAAGAAGAAGAGTGAAATCAATACAAGTGAATATGAACAAAGCGGTTTGAGCACTTAAAACAGTGCGAAATTGATGATAGGATCACCTCTTTTAATTACCAAATCCTTCTTGGAGTCTTCTAAAGCTTTTTGAATGACTTCGTTGATCTTCAAAGCTCTATCGATGATGACATCCTTACTTATGACGACAACATCATCCCGCAAGACGCTTTTGATGAACTCTTGCTTGTTAGTACCGCTCTTTCCTTCGGTGTATTTTGAATCGAATTCATACCCACCTCTAACTATTAACAAGTCTATTAACAAGTGGAGCAGTTCGATCTTTTTGTTATTCTGGAATCGTCGAACAGCAGTCTTAACAGGAACGCCCCGAGCTATGTCGTCGTTCTTATGCTCAATACATCTCTTCTTGAGATAGTCCTTTAAGACGATGAGTTCTCCATCACCAAAGTCGATCGACTTCATTCGCATATACTGTTGTGTGACAGTACTTTTCTTCGCAGGCTGTTTGATAGTGATATCTGCGAACTCCGAGAGGAGACAGATACACAGGCATTGTTGAAGAGTCTGTAAATTCCGTTGTTCTCTGGAAGCCTTAAGTACTGGGACTCTCTTCTCAAGTGGGGTGATACATACATGGGTGGTTTGGTTCGATGAATCTTGTGATACTAAGACTGCTTCCATTTGTGATGGAATATAAGTTGAAAGCCCCTTTTATAGTTCGTTTACCCTAGTCTGTGCTGTCTTCTCCAAAATTCGCTTTTTTCCTTATTTTTTGATACCAACGGCGTTCAATCATCTATTACTACGGGAAAAAGTTGGTATGTTTTCTTATTAGAAAACATACCAATGACGTGGTGAATGATACTAATTTTAACTAAGCTTAAATTAATGTATTTTTGGTATGAACATGATTGGCCAATACTCCCGATTGATAGCAAATATGGTTATCGATTTCAACCTAAATTTCATCATCCTTCTTTTTGCTTCCTTTTCCTAAATTCAAAAAAAATGTGGAAAAAAACTAACAAACAACACTTTTCCATTTCGAAGTTCCTTTTACCAGATTACTGGTTTATTATGGAGATCCTATTCTCTATTTTACCTTGCAACCTATTTTTTTCATTTAAAATATGTGTTTCGAAAAAAAGCGATTTTAGGAAAGGGGTTTTGGATCAACTGATCTATTAGTATCATTTAAGTTATTATAATTCGGTGTTATTTCTTTATACTATGATATTTTTATAAAAATATTATAAATAAATGGTTTTTTTCCAGTTTTGAAAAATTTGGGACAAATCATCCACTTTTTCTTTCACAAAAAATTGTGGATTGTATTTTCTACGAACTATATTTAAATCAGAAATGAACTATAAATAAACATAAATGCTATACATACTAATCGTTATAGAATTATTAACTAGTAACTCAAATGAATGCAATTAAAAGAGAAATGTTTTACATCCCAAAACGAATAACAAAAACACAATTCAATTCTAAAGCACATAACATCAATCCAATAGCATTTGTTTTCCACTCCACTTTTCTCTCTTAATATCTCGTTGATTGTTAATCTCGCCAAACTGCTGGTAATTTTCTATCATCCCCGGCCTGAATGGAGAAACAATCCCGTCACTCTGTGCCGCTCCTCTTCCAACAAATTGTAACGGAACGACGTCCATACTTTCAGCACTTCGCGAGAAAGGGTTGGCTGGCACTCCTCGCTTCTCCACTGAGTTGTTTACAATCATTGAGTTGTAAGTAGGCGATGAGACTGACCGATTTGGTGATATTGGCAATTCCTCAAAACACGATTCGAAGAATGGGTTGTTGTGTTTGTCACAAATGTCACCAAAACAGAACAAGTGGTCGCACACCAGTTTCTCCTGCTCATTTATAAAGCATCGGAACAACTCCGCACGACGCACCTTGACACTCTCGATATTCTTGATATACACATTCGACACGTCTGCGCGGAACAATCGCAAATTAGGTAAAACAAACCCTGCTTTTTGGCACGCGACAAGCTCCAGTGAAGTCAGTATACAATTACTGAAATTCATGAGTCTCGACGAGTTGACGTTCATCAACTTAATTTTAGTTAACGTTTGTGGGAATGGATTAATCTCCACAAAGGGAGTTTCAAGCAGCTGCAACTCAATAAGTGGCGATCGTTCAATATGGAGTGCATGTTGATCGACATTGCCCTTCAGTGTGAGACACGTCACACTCTTTGGTAACTGGAAACATGTCCCACTTTTGTAACTGACGATTTCACAGTCTTCTAATGTCAGTCGCTTCAATGTTATAGGGAAGATAGTCTTCTGTAACAACTTACATTTAATCATCTTAGCATTGGTGAAGATCTCCTTTGTCATATCTAAATTCCTCCTAATGGAAGTATACACTTTCTGCTCATCTCGCTTCGAAACACTTTGCCCCGACGCTAAGACTCTCCTCCTCTCACAATAGTTCTCTGGCTTTTTCACATTAATAACAGGCGATTTGACTTCGATGTTTTGGAGTTGTGTGTACTTCGTTAAGTCGATTTCAGTGTCATTCACAATTTTGTCAAATAACATCCTTTTCCGCTCCGCAAGCTTCTTCTTTGCACTTCGTCGTTGATTGGTCTTTTCATTTCCAAAGACATTATCATCTAACGCGAGAAAGGCATCAGTATTCTGGTTCGACTTTTCATTGATGAATTCCTCGGAGACCGAATACCCCTCCGCAAAACAGTATTCGCAGTCGTGGTCGCCCTCATGCCTTTTATGGAAGTAGTCTTCATATGTCTTAAACCCTCTCAATTCATCCAAGTCATATTTCCAGTCGACATCAAACTTGTCAGTCATGTCAAGTAGAATTTCACTCGGGTAATACGCATCCATGATTTTATAGAACTGCGAGACGTCACACCCTCCTTCATTTCTTTGCAGCGTGAACTTGACGCTTTTACAGAAATAGTTCCGTGGAAAGTCGGACACAAACCCGTCATACAAATTATAGACGTTATCAGCAAATACGCTTGGTTGTGTGTTCGACACCACAACGATCTTTTCGATGTTCTTGAACTCCTTAAAAAACTCGACGAAATTTGTTTGAAGGGGGGTGACGATTTTGACCATATCGAAATGTTGGGTTTTGTTTGGAAAGAGTGTTGAGAGTGGGAAGAGAATTTTCATGTTTAATATGACTCTTTTGAGAAGAGGGAATTTGGAGAAGTCCAAGTTCTCAGTGGGTTGCTTTTGGTCGGAGTCGACGATCATCCCAATTTCAATGATTTTGTCTTCACAGCCCGCCACAAAATTGAAATTTTTATAATTCAAGTCATAAAGTTTGAGGCTTTGGATTTGGTTGAGAAAGGGATGCGTTTTAAACGTTCTGAAATAACTTGAATTGATCACAAGTGTTTTGATCCCGGGAAAGAGCTTAAACTCACGAAGAAACTTCACACAACTATTACAGTCGCGCGCAGTGGTGCGGAGATAAAACGCGTTCTCGTGTTGGAAATGCACGGCAGAACAACACTTTTTGTTGACAAACACAAATTTAAGAGCACTTGATGAGTCTGGAAGGTGTTCGACAACTTTCTCTAAAAAGACGATCTCCAGCTGTGGTCCAAGTGAAGACATCGTTTTTTTTTATTGGTTCTTTCTTTTTCGAACAAAGTGTACCTTATCTTTTTATTCATTCTTTGTGCAAAACGTCTCAGCATTTTCTCTTCAAATATCGGGTTTTTTGTTCTTTGAAATAACCTTCGAAATACGATGTTGTATTTTTAGAGAATTTGTTTGACTTTTTGTGGATTTGAAATTTTTTTTTTAAGTTCAATAAAACTTCAAATCTTTTTTAGTTTTTTTCTATTTGGACGTCGCTTTTTCCCCTTTTTTTGACGAATTTTGAATTTATAGAATCTAAAGTTTCATGGGATGGGTAAGTTAAATAAAAAGAAGAAATAAGATTTATTCTTATTTGGTTTATTATAACTTGATAAACTATACAAAAATACTTAAAAGTATTTTTAATAAATAGTATTTTATTAGTATGTAATAATTAAAAAAACAGATTGGTAATTTGATTGTATTTTTATTTCAAAATCATTGAATAAATATAGTATAAAGTTAATAAAATTAACTAAAAGTTACTTTTTGTGAAACCTGTAAAAACAACGTCATTTTTGCCACAATAAAAAGCACATATTTATTATAACTAGTAATAAATAATTAAATAATAATTATAATTAATAACTAATAACAATTGTTTTACAATTTTTAAAAATGTTATTTCTTCACACATTTCAAATTACAAACGAAATAAAAAATTGCATTCTTTTAATCCTTTTTATTGGGTTTAAAATTATCCAAAGGGAAGGCATACACTGTTTTTAAGTCGACAGCGAGTCCAATAATCGACACACTCCCATCTTTCTCAGAACACTCTATTTTGAACAAATTGACTTTGTCCTTTCCAAACTGTAAACTGAAAGTCTTTTCAAAGAATGGGTTCTTTGCTAGATTAAATATTTTGATAGAATTATCAAAGAGTAAAGCTATTTGTGTTGTTGACAAAATACAGAAATCAGTTGCCTCTTTGATGTTCAAAGCTTTAATTACTTTAAATTGATTGTCTAAGATAATTAATAATTTCTTGTCTCGATCGAGTACTACGACATTGTCTTTCAACGATCGAACTTTTATTGGGTTGACTAATTCTATTTTCGAACTTAACTTCGACAGAAGTTCTCTCTTCCCTCCTATCATACATGATATCCCACGTTTACAGACAGTCACCATCTCATTGTTAAATACACAACATGACTGTGCAGATATGTCAAGTTTTTCAACTCGATCGTGGTATACAGTTAAGACGTAAGCAGACGTTCCAAGTATTACAGCGTCTTTTGTCGTTACTATGTCATTCACTATTTCATCTTGAGTGTCGGGGAATGCCTCGGGTTCGCCATTAGCAACTACAATACCACTTCCCCTATCATAAGAATAAATCGTTCCGTTTCTCACACCAAACGCAGTTTGTTTGTCGGGTAACTCACATAAATATGAAACTAATTGTTTCTTATCTCCAACAGTAAGTTGCGATATGCGGGACTCCTCTTTCTCCCTCTTCTCTTTCTTCTCCTCTTTCTTCGCACTATCTTTTTGCTCAGACGACTTTGAGGTTTTCGCAGGCTTGGCCCATTTCTCTTGACTCTTTTGGGTAGACACGGGAGATAAGTCTTGTGGAAGAATCAAATACTTTTCAAACGTTTCTTTAATCGTATTTTCTACTATTGTTGGGATTTGAGCAACTACATTTTGAAGGTCGCTAATTTGTTTGGTTAAAACTGCAATTTGTTGGACTAAGTGTTCAAGTTGTGTTGGGGGTTCTTCAGACATTTTCCTTTTTCCAGTTTTCTTTCGAATTTTGGAAATAAGAGTAAAAACCCTCAGTATTCTATTGATGAAAATTAGCTCGTTAATTATAAATAAAAAATTTGAATAGTTATGAATTAATATTTAATTAATTATATTATTAATTTATAATTTTTAATATTATTTAATTATTATCTAATTATAATACCAATAATTATTTATTATTTGTTTTTTTATTATATTACAATCATTTAAATTTAATTGTATTTTAATTTTAATATAGTATTATGTATAGTATTTAAATAATACAATTAAAACTATATTAACTCTCCAAATTATAACTTAAAATACTATAGAAATGGTATAGAAATGTTATTATTGAATAGTATAGAATGAAAAAAGAAAACTTGAAATTTGATGTTAAGGTCGAAATATAAGAAGAACTTGTATGCTTTACTTGACGAGAAAGAGTTTAACGTTTCTGCGTTCAACCGACTGCACCACAATATGGAACTTGCTCCAGTCAAGTTACCAAAAGTGTTCCGCATATTAGAGGATTACATAACAAAGAACATTACTGTTGAAGCGTTTGTATTTATTTCCATCGAAGTTATTGGAAGTAACATATAGTAATGTAATTAAAGCGACAAAAACTATGGGAGAGCTCTCTCTAAATTGTCGTGATCAATTATCATTGATAGACCAAAGTATGATCAGAGTGATAAGACAATGTGTCAACTCGACAGTGAAAAAGGTGAAGTTGGCAGGGGTTCAGCTCTTAGATTTTTACACAAAGGCGTGTAACGAAAATTCTGTTCGAACCAATTTTGAGGAAATTAAAAAGATCCCAAACGACTTAACTAAGATGGTTGGGAATAACGAAGAGATTAAAAGTTGTTTGACTGCGTTGAGAGATTGTGTGGTCATCTTCCAAATGGTCAATGAGCTCGACCAAATACTTGGGTATAACACTGTTCTTCGGGTCATATTTGACTCTCTCACAAATTCTGATGGGAACGAAGAGATCACAACACAAGCCAAAGAAATTGTACTAAAAATAGTGACGTCCATATCAGACAAGATCACTACTGTCAAGTTCATCGTTCAGTTTTCGGAGTTTTTGGACAAGAATGAGAAGTGGAGTATCCCAGCAGTTCAAAGTATATTGGGCGAATTTGGTGTTCGTGTGAAGCCAATAATAAGCGAAGTCATTATTCAGACAGTTCTTGAACACATCCCAAAAAGCGACAAAATTGCTTCAAAAATAGCACAACTCAACTTTGTCAAAAAAAGTATTAACAATAAAGTCGGGTCTATTAACGATAATGTACGAAGACTTCATGGACTCTTGGACTTCCCTATTGTTTCACAGAAGGAGTTTGATGAAAACGAAGCAAAACCGTTCATTGAAATGGTGTTTGATCTCATTTGTGAGTGCTTGACTGCAATTACTGACGACTTGATTAAGGCAGACTTCTGCTTTTTCATCTTCGGAGAGTGCGACCAGACTAGTTTGTTTAAATAGTTATTTTATTATTAAAAGTGTTATTAAAATCATGCTTATTTTCAGACCAGTCTAAGACATTCTTGAATACTTTATTGCTATTTAAAATCACTGGATCATTGAAAAAGGAGGTTCTCCAAAGAGTCGACAAAACAAACTTTGTGAAGTTCCTCTCCAATTTCAATTCGACGAATAGCGATATCAGACATATGACACTTTTGGTAGTGAGACAGTTTCTGTTTGGGAAAGAGCTTGAGAAGTCATCGAAAACATATGTATTCAGCCAGCAAATTAAAATGGGGTTGGTTGAAATGCTCCAACAGCCGACTTCAAGTGAAGACATAGTCGAGATCTACAAATTTTGGAGAGACATGATATTGACAGGGCAAGTCAATGAATTGCTCGAAACGATTCCGTTGCTGGGATATGTGACGAAGAAGAGTGTGAAGAGCAACGAGAAGCAACAAGGATGCATTCATTATGTAACAATCATGTTACTTAAGATCATTGGGACCAAATACAATATAGAAGGATTGAATGCATATACAGAGAGTCGCTTGAAAGGGATTTCGTCATACTTTGAAGTGAGTGGAAACGACTTAAAAGCTAAGAAAGTAGAGAAAGACCGGGAAGATGTCAAAGGGCTTCTGTTAATACAAAAAGACGTGTGTGACATTATAAAAAATTCTGACGTTGCGCAAGAGATCGACGGGATCGAGAAAATCGACGAGGAGATTTCTCTTAAAAATCGCGCGAAGCACAAAGTGATGCAGACGAATGTGTTAAAGCAGTCATCAATGAAAACAAAAGAGACTTCAAAGAAGAGTGTGAGCATTTCCAATGAAATTTCATTCAACATGTTAAAGGAAATTGCGACCAAAGGCAGTCAGAAGAAGGAGAACGAAAGTGAAGTGAGTAAACTCGATATCACTGTGTTATTAACTCAAGCGGAAGAGCTCAAAAAAGATGAGACGGAAATGTTGAATGGAATTGACTCGTTATTAGAGTGTGACATTCAAATGAGTATACCAAAACAAGACGAACTCTTCAATGCACATTCTTTAATACCGTTTGAGTGAAATAAGTTATTGTCATGTGAACGTTTGTTGAATAAAATTGAATTACAAAATTTGAAGAGACTTTTCAAGGAAGTTGTAGCAAGATGTGATGAGGTCGGTATCGCTCTTTTGTGTATGGATCAGCACTTTCGAAAAGACGTCTAAGAGTCTGTTTTTGTCAACGCCTTTGAGTATCAAATTCGATATAAATTTGACTAAGAAAACATATAGATTCTTGTGTGACTCTAACATCATATACGTTAGATACCTTTTCACCATGACTTCATTCTGTGACATCACTTGGATTTGACTTAAAAAATCATCGTGTAACAAGGAATCTTTAAACCCCGCCACAATCAGTAGTAAAACAGCAAAGTAACTACTTGCAGAGATCCCCGTTCTAAATGGTAAGTCGTTGTCGACTGCCTGTAAGACGTCGTTGAATTGTTTTTCATTTGGTTCAAATTGAAATAAATATTCAAGTTCATCTTCTCGAAGAGATTTCATTTTATCGACAATTCGATACACCTCTTTGGGAACATAAAATGGACTTTTATCATAGACATTACTCGTCATTCCTATGACTGGTGTATTGAGAAGACATAACTCGTTCAAACTCAACCCAACACATGTTTGTTTTGGAAACACTTTAATGATCATTGGAATCACATGTTTTGTAAATTTAACTGCGATCTCAAAAACAAATTTGCAGGCTTCTTTGTTTTGATATAAAAACGAGTTGTTCTGGTTGTAATTGACGGTTGCAGTTATTAACACTTCATCCTTCCCTTCTGTAATATCGACGTGGTCGGTGCTCATATCTATCTTCACCCAACTATATTGCACAGCGTCTTCATATTCTTTGGACTTTTTCATTTCTAAGTACATCCGCGTCTTCCCAATGTTTCGAATACTTAGGGTTTGGCTATAACTCTTCATCAATTCGGGTTCTTTAAATTCAAAGTACGTGACTGGCGCACTCACCTCAGGAACTACTACATTCCTATACCACTCCTCTGCCTTATTAAAGAAGTCAATAACAGTTTTCTTCTTCACTTGATTGATCTGTTGTAAACACACTTTGAATACCCCAGAGACCGGTTTGTGGTCTGAATTGTATAATTCAAATGAATTGTATTTCTCGACTGTGACTCCATGTCGTCGTTCTGTTTTATATAAAATTCTGTCACACCATGAAGGAATCCGTTTGTCGTTGTACTCCCCGTTTTGATTGATTTTGAACGTCGGGAGAAAATTGAGACGCGCCTCGACAAAATTGTGGAAGACCTTTTTCTTCATACGAGAAGTGTAGAGCTGGTCATTCCGATATAACGTGTTGAAGTCTTTTTCAACGACTAATTTGCGGACTTCTTGATCGTCCAAGTCAATTCGATAATTCAAGTCACCAAGCCATACGACTATGTCATGATCTAACACATTAAGTCGTGTCGTTTCTGCCCCCGATAAGTACTCCACCCGTATTTTAGAGATCTCTTCCCAGTCTTTATTTCGTCGTTCTAAAAACCCTTGATGTGCGGCTAAGTGAGAGTTCACAAAACAAATGGTCGAGTCATAGATTTGAAAACCTATAACAACACCCCCTTTGTTTGCAAGTGTGCCACCAATAGCACCAGTCCGACATGACCCAATTCCCGTCTTTGTTATTAAACTTTTAATCGACTTTTTCACAAAGGTGAACAACACAACACCACATAACTGATACCACCCACTGTCTACATACTCGTCTCTACCTGTTTTATTAAGTGAAGTTAAGAGAAGAGACTCCCATTTGTCAGCTTTTTCACTGTATTTATTCCCAGTGATTAAAGCATCCACAGACATGTCAAGTTCTTGTACACCAGCACATACCAAATCAGCACCTTCAGAAATATATTGAGTCCACGTGTTAACAACATCTTGACTGAATACACCTTGGTTGATGTTCCATGTACACACCAAGACCTTTAACTCCTTTGGAACACCATAAAAAGGAAGTTGGTCAAGTACAGACTTCTCCAGCCACTCGCTCGGACTCGTCACAAACAAGTTCACTTTGTGTTAGTTCGTCAATTAATGTATTTAACAACATTCCTCTTTGGAACTTTTCTGATGGAAGTTACCATTAAAAATAAATAATAGCGAACTATACCATATTAATAATAATATTATTGTCATTAGTTAAACTATACAAACAAACAGTCTTTGTAAAGCTCTGGTAACTTACAGATGTCATCTTTGGATGGCGTTTTGTTCGTGGCAATCCACATTCGAGGCACTATAGGAACAAAAGAGGTTGATGGCCTTGTTGTTGGGCTGAATGCCTTTTCTGTGTCATCGACAGTTGTGTTCTTTGAAGTTGCAAGAAATTGTTTGGTTGCAGTAACACGTTGTGGTGACGCAAAATTAACGGTTGCACGTGTTGACTTAACCCACTCACGCTTTTCAAAAGATGTTGGAGACTCTGTTTTTGGGATTGTCGGATAAGTAGGGTTTGTCGATAAAAAACGAGTGCGTTGTTGTTCTGTGTTGTCTTTATTTGGTTCGAAAGACATTGTAATTGTCTTAGAAAGTTGACTTGTCTTTGGGATGTCAATCGACCGCATTTACAACTATAAGATGGTTATCTTTCATTTTATTCATATCCACAATTATAGTATATATTTAGTTTTATATTAATATAAAAAGAAGTAGTGTGTACTGATAAAAAGGTGTTTATTTATAATTATTATTTATAATTATTACTTGATATTTCAAGGATTTAAAATAATAATAAACAATAATTACTATAATTCTACATTTCTATTTCTAATTTAATTATTAACATTTGAAATTATTAAAAATATAATTCTTTTTATGACAAAAAATTAACTATTTGCAAAATTTTGTAACTCACCTCATCATTTTTTCAATACAACATGACTTTTTTAAGATAAAAGTATCGACTTTTTAATTCATATTATAACAATTTTTATCAGTGTTCCATTTATATACAACACTCAATAATTAATAATTATACTATAATAATTATTCTTTGTTCTACATATAATTTATAATTAATAATACTATAAATATTACATTTGTTTTCCCCACTCAACAAACAATCAAAATTCAATTCTTAAACGTTGACATCATCATCAATCTGCTAATTTGTCTTCTCCTGTGAGTTAATATATAGAATATATCTTATTATATAACTAATATATAAAATAGAACAAACTGTTCCTTTAATTGATCCATCACTTTATCAAGGTTTTTCTTAGACACTTGAGTTTCAGTGATTTGTTCGATTTGTGCATTGATTGTTTTCACGGTGCACCCAAGTTGCTCGATCATTTTTTCGATTTGTCCAAAAGTGAGTGTTCTTTCTGTGTATGAAGAAAAAGCGTCCAAATATTCGGGATGTTTCTCTTTGATTATTAAAAGAAGTTGTGCGGCCTTTTGGCGATTATTTGTTTCCAAGTCTAATGCCTTTTTGTTAGTAAAACTTTACTATTTCAACCTAAAAAGAATATACTAAAATGTATAGTATTTGAACTATTGTTGAATAACAAACTTTTTTCTCCTTTTCCCTTATTTTATCGACCATGCCGACAAGCATCTCAGTTTCTGTGATAATCGTATCGATCGCTTCTTTGTTGTTGTCCATTTTCTTAGCAATCACAATTAATCTGCGCTATAAGTATTGAAGAGATCTTAAATAAAATCACATTTTAACCCAAGTCGTGTGTTAAACAAACTTATCGATCAACTGATTTGTGTTAATGTCGAGTTGGTTGTACGCCTCACACCCTTTTTGAATTTCCACGTTCATCCTTTGTTTTTTTCAAGTTCTTTTTTTAAGAATGAAGTGTCGCCCAGGTTTTCCAGAAACAATTGAAACAAAAAATTTAATTTTAAATTTTTATTTTACCTTTTGAAGTTCTAATAAAATGTGCAAAGAAAAATATTTTGATTGATTTTTTTTTAACTTTGTTTTTATAAAGTTTTTTTACTTGTTTACTCGATCAATACTTGTGTGAATGAAAAACTCAGTTACTCTCCTCTCTCGAGCAGAACTCCAATATGCACTTAC